TATTCTATTCTATTCTATTCTATTCTATTCTATTCTATTCTATTCTATTCCATCTTCTATTCCATACTATTCTATTCTGCGAATACAGGTAGTCCTCGACTTACAACGGTCCGTTTTCTGTCTGTTCAAAGTTACAACGTAAGTGACTTGTAAGGATTTTTCGCATTTGCCTCCGTGGCAGCATCCCAAATGGTCATGTGATCGAAATTCAGGTGCTTTGACAGCTGACTCATGACTGTTGCCCAGGATCTCGTGATGCCCCTTTGCGACCTTCTTACAAGCAGAGTCCATGGGGAAAGCCCGATTCACTTCACAAGTGCCTCACTCACTTTATCGACTGCAGGGATTCACTTAACGGCTGCGGCAAGAAAAAGTTGCAAACTGGGGTAAAACTCACTTAACAAAGGCCTCGCTTAGCTTAGCCACAGAAATTTGGGGCTCGGTTGTGGTCGTAAGCCCGTGCCGTTTGCTTGGGAAAGAGTGAAGAAACCATAGTCCATGCCTGTGGAATTATGGTTGGCACGTGGAATTACGAGCTGTTTCACTTGAAACCACTGGTAGGAGTCAGCCTGGAATGCTTAGCATCTTAAATACATATTAAATATCCAGTGAGCGCATCCGCCAGTCCTCGAGCACTCTCTGCAAATGAGAACAAAAAGGCTAATGTATCAGAGGACGAGGTTGTGGTCTGGCCCATTTAGCCTGGAACAATTCTTAATTCTTTCAATCCCGAGTTTAATGGCTTCAAAAAGAGCGAACTGGAGCCAGCCAACCTAGCTGTCCCTGTAATAGCAAGGCAGGAACAAGCAGAAATAAGACGGCATCCCTCTTTGTGGAAGAGCCTTTTCTTTTGCTGTAGCTCTTTCTGAGCTCATGGAAACAGGAAATGTAAAGCGAATGTTTACATGTAAATGTGGTTGCAACACAGGGCCAGCATTTGAGACTTCCCCTTAGCGTACCCTAACCTGCTTCATATATTCAGTGGAGTATGTCGTATCTGCATGATCCAGGTCAGAGGTCTCCAACCTTGGCCACTTTTAAGACTTGTGGACTTCAACTCCCAGAATTCATTAGAGCATCGTATATTCCAGGGGTCTCCAACCTGAGCAACTTTAAGACTTGTGGACTTCAACTCCCAGAATCCCTCAGCCAGCTTTGCTTACAAATTATGATACACCCAGGGGGGTGGGGGGAAAACCAAGGTCAAGGGTGACAATGAATGATGTGCCTCAGAGTCGGCTACACCCAGGCTGTGCCAGCATGTTAACTCCCAATAAATCCTTTTGAAGTTTTGGAAATTTGGCTCAAGATTTCATGATTTAATTGGGGTAACTGCCGGAATCCTGACAGTTGCCTGCACATGATGCTTTGAGAAAGCCCTTTGATTAAGTTCACCAACAGAAAAAGGAGTTTTGAACAAGTCTGGTGGCAGTCTACATGGTGATTTCCTCTTTCAGCAGGAAATTGGCTGGAGTATTTCCTTGTAACACGTGAGGTCACGAGCCTTTTCACTCTTCCTGCTTCGCCCTCATTTTGGACCATTTTGCTTTTTTCCCAGGTACGAGGATGCTTTGGTTTTGCTGCTGACTGAAGTACTAAACCGAATACAGTTCAGGTATAACCAGGCCCAGTTGGAAGAGCTGGACGACGAGACGCTGGATGATGATGTAAGAAACGGAGTCCTTGGAGGTGTGAGACGGGGGGGGGGGGGGAGGGGGCCGCCTATAGGCCAAAGTCTCCCAGGGTTCCCTCCCCACAGCATCCCTTTTGCAATTTTCAAAGGATACCCCCAAAAGATGCTTCTTTTTCCCCAAGGCAAAAAGGCAACTGGACTTTTCCTTGAGGACGTTTCGCTTCTCATCCAAGAAACTTCTTCACTTCTGACCGAATGGAGGAGGATGGAAGGATGAAGCTTCTTGGATGAGAAGGGAAACGCCTTCCAAGGAAGAAGCAAAGAAAGTCCAGTTGCCTTTGGAAAAAGCACCTTTGGGACAACATGGCCTGGATGACTTGAGAATCTCTGCAAAGACTGGTTGCCATATTGTGAGACTGAAAGTGTTACAAAGAGACCCATTCTCAGAATAAAGGCAGTAAACTATGCGTGCAATAGAGAACGACGCAAATGAGATTCTTTAAGATTTTCCAAACCCAACAATCTAAATCAGGGGGTGTCAAACTCAAGCCCTGCAGGCCGCATCCAGCCTGCGATGAGGTAGGATCTGGCCCGTGGGGACGTCCTGGAAAATGTAACGTTGCTTCAGCCTGGTCTACCCAATGCAAAGAGGAAACATGCCAGCAATTGGTTACCACGATGTAAAACAGATGTTGAGACTCTAGAAAGAGTGCAGAGAAGAGCAACAAAGATGATTAGGGGACTGGAGGCTAAAACATATGAAGAACAGTTGCTGAAACTACTGGGTATGTCTAGTTTAATGAAAAGAAGGACTAAGGGAGACATGATAGCAGTGTTCCAATATCTCAGGGGCTGCCCCAAAGAAGAGGGAGTCAAGCTATTCTCCAAAGCACCTGAAGGCAGGACAAGAAGCAATGGGTGGAAACTCCTCAAGGAGAGAAGCCATCTAGAACTAAGGAGAAATTTCCTGACAGTGAAAACAATAAGTGGAACAACTTGCCTCCAGAAGTTGTGAATGCTCCAACACTTTACAAAGATGTTGGATAACCATTTCTCTGAAGTGGTGTAGGGTTTCCTACCTAGGCAGGGGGTTGGACTAGAAGACCTCCAAGGTCCCTTCCAACTCTGTTATTCTATTGTTTCTAGTTTGGGGAGTGGTGTCAAGCTGGCCATGCCCACCCAGTTGACCCCTCCCCCCCGAGGTCAACCACAGCCCTGATGCGGCCCTCAGTGAAATTGAGTTTGACACTCCTCATCTAACCCCTCTTGGGCTGAAGGGAAATGAGATAAAATGGACTGTTCCACTTTGGATCAGCAGCTCCCAACCTTTTGGGCACCAGGGACCGGTTCCGTGGAGAGAGGTTTTTCTGCAGACCATAGAAAGCATAGTTTCGCATACTGCCTTCATCGTGAAGATGGGGGCTTCGCTTGTTTGCACGGACCAGTTTCTAGCATGCCTGGGACCAGTACCAGTTTGTGGACCAGAGGTTGGGGACCCCTGCTTTTAGATTACAAATGGGTAACATCATCTTTAAACCATCCACCAGGCTGAAAATATTTCCCGTCATTTGGAAACCAGCATGGGGAGATTAGAACCTTTCTCCTTGGGAGCAGTTTTGACTTCATAATATAATTGCTTTTCCTCCATTGTTGCAATAAGTTTCCAGGTTTAGAGTTAAGAACCTGACTTTAAAGGAAATAAAAAAAACGCTGGATTATGCCTTTGTTTTCACCCCCTTAACAGCAACAGACCGAATGGCAGCGGTATCTCCTTCAGAGCTTAGAAGTTGTGGCCAAAGTTATGGAGCTTTTGCCAACTCATGCCTTCTCTACACTGGTAAGTGGACAGAGTGAATATCATGAAGTATTAAAGAGCCGAGAGGGATCTTAGAGGCCATCTAGTCAATCAGACCGGAGACCAGAACAAATAAAAACACATGATGAGGTCCCCTTAGACTTGCAAAATATGCCAAATTCTGGGTTCAATGCATCCATTAAACAAACAGTACCTAGCTCTTGGTGTCAACAGTACCCAGCGTAATTACCTTCCAACCAGCGCCCCTACTGAGAACTCTACTGACAATCCAAAGACCAGTGCAAGAAAAATACCTTAAGCATTATGTCATGGAATGTAGCGTTTTAGAGGCCTAAGTTACCCTGATCCTCTGATAGGTAAGGATATCATTTTGGTGCAAGGGACTTGGACTGCGGATGACCTCCTGCTAAATCGGGGGTCCCCAAACGTGGCAACTTTAAAGACTTGTGGACTTCAACTCTCAGAACTGGACTTCTGGGAGTTGTACTCCACAAGTCTTAAAGTTGCCAAGTTTGGAGACCTCTGTGCTAAATGGTTATCATTCGCATAAGCTCAGGAAGGCTGAAGGCCATCTAACCGTATTCCCTGCTCTGGGCAGGATCCACTAGAGCAGTGTTTCTCAACCTTGGCCACTTTTAAGGGGTGTGTGGACTTCCAACTCCCAGAATTCTTCAGCCAGCCTGTCCCAGGCTGTCAATGCTGCCTGGCACAGGGGTGAGTCCTGGCTTGCCATTTGGATGTAGCCTGGAAAATCCTATTTATGGTATTTGGGAGAAGAGTTAACTTTGGGGGTTTATTTGAAAACAGGAGTAGGTAAAAGAAATTATGTTAAACGCGACAGGCTGACACCCTTGTTAATCCTTCTGTTTGTGATTATTGCCCCGGATCTCACTCTCTTGCGCTTGCTCTGGGCATTCTCTAAAGTACTGCGTTGCTTCATTGATTTGTTCTGATTTATTTAATTTTATTTGGTATTTTTCAGCCTCGGGAACTTTAAAATGGGTTGACTTCAATTCCCAGAATTCCCCCTAGATATGGGGAAACCCACACCCTTTTAGAAGTTCCGAAGGTTGAGAAACACTCAACATAGCTAGAAGTTTGTTTGTTTTTCCCCCTCAACTCACCATGGAAAGCATTGTGCTGAAAAGTTATCGTGCCTTATAGTGAGGTGGTAAGAATCAAGCGAGAGTAGTTGGCAGACTTTTATATAGAGAAGATTTGAAGGGAAATTCTGCTCTCGGAACCCAAATAGATAAAAGAAACTTCATTTCTAGGCCTCTGCAGAACTCCCAAGTGTTCCCACTGGTTTGCTACTTACCCCAGTAGAAGTGATCCCTTCTCACTAGTTTCTAATGTTCTCCTTCCTTATTTGTGATACGCTCACGTGGTTTGTTTTTTTTCAGCATGCTCGGGGTTTTTTTTTTTAAACGTTTTGAGCCTCATGTGACCTGTGTTCCAGTAACATTGGAAACATGCGACCAGCCACCATGTAGATAATAAAAGCAGCTTGAGAAATGAAAGTCTCTCTGTGCTTCTTCCTATTAGTGGATGGATGGATCTTTCTGGGCACATGCCACGCCCCGTTGAGTAGCAGAGCATTTCCCAATATCTTGCATAATAGAACGAAAAAGAAACAGCGATGTTTGGTTTTGTTTTGTTTTTTTGTTACTTCTACTTTTGTTACTTGTGCAATGTGATTTTGTTTCTTTTCCTACTTGCTACACAACTTCCTTGCCTTATTTTATTATGGGGACAAAGACTGTTATGATGTCCATTCTAATCTTTGAGTCCACCATAGAGTTTTGATCTATGGGTCTCTGGTGCACATTTTAATACCAAATCTATTCTGATAACCTGTGTCCTTGACCAAAAGGTGCTTTTTTCCAAGAGGCAACTAGATTTTCTGGTTTTTCTTTGAAGACGTTTCGCTTCTCATTCAAGAAGCTTCTTCAGTTCTGAATCCATTCCCCACCATCCAGTCAGAGCTGAAGAAGCTTCTTGGATGAGAAGCGAAACGTCTTCAAAGAAAAACCAGTTGCCTCATGAAAAAGCACCTTTGGGATGACCATGAACTTGGATGACTGAGAATCTCCACAGACTTTGTCCTTGACTGAAGCTGCTTCTTTCCACAAGGAATCACAGAATATCAGAGTTGGAAGGCCCATTAGATGTCTTCTAATCAAACCCCTTTTTAAGCAAGAGACCCTATACCAGACAAAATGGTTGCCAATCCCTTCTTGAAAAGATGGGCAGCAAATAAATTCGATAAAGAAATAACATTTTAAAAACTTCCCTTTTAGGTATTACTACAAGAATGCTGCCAAGTTAGAAATATTACAGGTAGTCCTTAACTTAGGACTGGTCACTTAGCAACTGCTCAAGGTTATGACAGACCCCTCCCCACAAAAGGTACTTATGACCCAATGACAAAGTTCAATGGCTGCTCCCTCCGGGGTCGCATAATCGCATTTGGGGTGCTGAGCAATCGATCCTATTTATGGCCATTTGCAGCATCCCCCGGTCACATGAGAACAACGTATGCTGTTTTTCCTGCAAACTGACGTTTCCTGGCACAAGCACCTCATAGTGAACAATAGCTTAGCTTAACAACTGTGGCATTCACTTAATGACAGCCATTTCACTTAATACCATGGTGATTTACTTAATGACTGCTGTGGGTTCCATTATGGACATAAGTCAAAGGCTACCTATATGAGAAAATTTTGCAAAAATAAAACAGGGCAGCTGGAGTAAACCCAAGAAAGTCGGCCTAATGTTGATTTAACTAGGACCCTGGAAAGAAGAGTTGATTGTGATTCCTGCGCTGTACGTTTCATCATCTTCTCCTGCTGAGAAACTGTGGCATACCTGCCAGCTTCTGTAACGGTCCTTGCCTGAAATTAACGCTTTAAATTTCTTGGTTGTGACAAGCACATCTTGCAGAGACCAGGAGTTTCCCCCACTGTTTCTCCCTATTACTTCAAAAGGATGAGGTGACTTTTCCTGGAGGGAGCTAAATCACTCCAGACGTTTTATTTATTTATTCAATATTTTTTACCTGCTGTGTTGAGAGAGAGATTTGTGGCAGGCTACAATTTTTAATAAAACAGCCTTAAGTCTCTAATAAAACAGTCTAAATAATTTCACATAGCAATAATCCATAATTAAAATACAGATAAAAACCAGAAAACTACCCATCGAAAAGCAACAAAATTAATGGAATGGTATTAGTGTAGCCTAAAGATGAAGAGGCTTCACATTTTATTTATTTATTTATTGAATTTATATTGCTGCCTATTCGCCCAGGGCGACTCAAGGCAGCTTACAGAATGTAAATTGGTGGTCCCAGGTTTAAAACTTCCTTTAAAATGAGTTTCCAAGGTGGCCTTAAGTAGCACATGGAAAATACTTCTTCCTCTTGAGACATGTTTTCCCAGTGATTTTGCCCTGAAAGAACTATGCTGGTCTGGAAATAATTGAAATTGCGTCCCAAAGGTGCTTTTTCAAAAGGTGGACTTTTTTTTAATCCTTGAAGATGTTTCACTTCTCATCTTCAGTTCTGACTAAATGGTGGAGAATTCTGAAGAACTGAAGAAGCTTCTTAGATGAGAAGTGAAACATCTTCAAGGATAAAAAAAGTCCAGTTGCCTTTTGAAAAAGCAACTTTGGGACAACCATGATCTGGATGATTGAAAATCTCCATAGAAATAAGAAATTGTGCTTTTGACACTTGCTGAGTGGGCCAGATTGGGAACCATGCCATGGATCTACTCTAACCTTTCAAACTTAATTTCTAAATGTTTTTTTTTATTCATCGTGCTTGTGATGTCATCCATTTTGACTTTAATTTCAGCTCTTTTTTGCTTTAGTTTCCAGTGCTCCAAGAAAACCTGGATGTGTATCTGGGACTCCAACAGTTCATTGTCACCTCAGGGACAGGTAAGGTAAACTTTCTGTGCCTAAAGTCTCAGGTCAGTTAAACGTGACCAGTGTTAAATAGGAGCTCTGGTGGTGCAGTGGTTAGAATTGCAGGCAAAACTCTGCCACAACCTGGAGTTTGATCTTGACGGGGCTCAAGGTTGACTCAACTTTCCATCCTTCTAAGGTCAGCAAAATTAAGACTCAGATTCTTGAGGGCAATATGCAAATAATGCTGAAATTGTAAACCACCCAGAGAGTGCTATAAAGTGCCTGTGGGGCAGTATATAAGCCTAAAATGCTTTGCTATGAATAAAATATTATGTGGGCTACAGCTGATTTCAATCCTTCACAAAAAAAGATGAATTAACATCAAGCAAGAGGGTTCCATCATACATGATGTCCAGAATCCTCAGAAGGCTTGTTCCTCCTGCCAAGTTTCAATCTGGGTTCATCAGCCAGAATTAGCTTCTTCCAGAAGGCCAGTTTGTACATCCAGGGAATTTGTAACATACTGCAGTGTTCCAGGGTCACCTAATCTTGTGACCTTTAGAGCAGACTACTGACTGCTTTAAATTTTAATGCAAATATTTACGCTATTAATTACTTTATCAAGTTTAAGGAAGGGGCATCTGCCAGGAATACTTTTAGAAAGGGAGGAATAAAACCTCCCTTTCTAAAAGTAAGAACAAAAGCCATGCAACTTTGGTATGCCATGAAAAAGGAGAACATGCAGAGAGTAAACCTGTTTCTGATCGAAGACGTGCCCTTGGCTATTTCCTTTGAAAGAGATGCTAGTTTAATCCTACTGTGTGAATAATTGATGTACTAGAGCTTTTAAAATTTAACTTAGACATTCTGATGTAGTATCTGTGGCTCTATACCTCTTGCTTGGGCCTTGGGAAGGGCTTGTGACAGGCTTTCAAAGTCGTAACATATCAAGGGGTGGGGGAGTCAGATTCACTTCATAGAGGCATTACTAACTTACCAACTGCAGTGATTCACTTGGCCATGAAAACTGTGGCCATGAAAAACGGAGCAAAACTCAATTAGCAGCTGTCTCACTAAGCAGCAGAAAATTTGGGCCCAGGTGTGGTCATAAGTCGAGGACTGCCTGTAGTGCTTGACATTAAACTCAAGATTTAGGGGTTTTGAATCTTGGGTGGCTGCTTGTGGTACCGTCAAGTTGTCTCATTCAAAGCTTCCCAGGAAGGGAGGTGAGCGAGAATGAGGGAGAATTAAAGGAAGGCTGTCCTTTTCAGAAATAGTCCTTTGGTTTAACTGGAGCCATGAAAGGGTCTCCAATTCAGAGTTTTGGCGGTCCAAGCCACTCCTTAGACCAAAGGCCTGTGTAATGCAATCCCAGTAATTGTTTCATTTCCTGCAAAGGGAACGTTATAATTGGATTTCTCCTCTGAGAGCTTTGTATGCTTTCAGGGTTATCGTTGGTGGATGAGCTCAGTCTTGAAATTCCATGGCCCCTGTTACGACCTGTGGACTTCAACTCCCAGAATTCCTGAGCCAGCCATGCTCACCACTTGACCTAGGGGGTGGGGAACAGATAGGGTTTTCCTAAATGGGGCAAGCCGCCCCCACATTTTTCTCATCAAGGCGTGTGGGCTTGCCTCTCCAGGCCACCGACTGAACATCACCGCGGAGAACGACTGCCGGCGTTTGCACTGCTCTCTGCGGGACCTCAGCTCCTTACTACAGGCAGTGGGGCGGCTAGCGGAGTACTTCACCGGGGACATGTTCGCAGCCAGGTTCAGCGATGCCCTTACCGTGGTGGAGAGGTAGGTAAAACCCACCTGGACAAAACCGCCTAAAGCAGTGTTTCTCAACCTTGGCCGCTTTAAGATGGGTGGACTTCAGTTCCCAGAATTCCCCTGACAACTCGTAAAGCATCCCTGGCTTGCTCTCGAGTTGCCATAAGAAAGAAGAGGGGGGAGATCTGATGGAGCGGGTCATTGCTATGATCAGAGCACATTCCACGCCTAATCTTTCTCCAGATTGTGTCTCAGAATTACCAAGCCCAGCTGGAGAGGCGTGTTTTCCATAGCCCAGCGAAAGTGCTTTTGTTGGAGAATGTGATTTGTGACACACCCTGGGAGAAGCAGGGGAAACAGGGTCATAGGTGGGCAGTAAATTACATAGGGCAGAGCCCGGCTGCACTTGAGAAAAGTACCAATATGTCGCTCTAATAAATAATTGGATTCCTGTTGAAACTTGGCTCAAGGCTCATGAATTAATTCGGGCGTTCGTGGGAACCCTGACATCCCCTTTTATGGGCTGCACCCCCCTGTCGGCTACAGATGCTTCAGCCTTAGCCCCAAAGGTGCTATTTTTTCAAGAGGCAACTTGGACGTTCCGTTTTTTCTTTGAAGAGCTTTCGCTTCTCATCCAAGAAGCTTCTTCAGCTCTGGCTGGATGGTGGGGAATGGGGAGGATTTATACTCCTTGCAGGAGTATTTGCATCCTTTTAGAGAGACATTGAGGCCACTTGGAGGTTTGTCTGTGTCCTTAGGGTCACCTGAGTGGCGCAAATGGGTGTGGAGCCTTCTTGTGTTCAACACTGAAGGGACACAGGGCAGAGAACATCCTGCAGAAAGCACAGCTCCACAACACAGTCCTTTTCAGCAGTCCCAAGAAGGCTCCACCATGTTTGTACTACTCAGGTTGTCCCTGAGGACGCAGGTAAACCTCCAAGTGGCCTCAGTGACCCTCTCAAAGGATGCAAATGACCAGCTGTCTGCAAGGAATATAAATCCTTCCATTCCCCACTATCCTATCAGAGCTGAAGAAGCTTCTTGGATGGGAAGCGACACGTCTTCAAAGAAAAACCAGAAAGTTCAGTTGCCTCTTGGAAGGAAAAGCACCCGTGGGGCAACCATGACCTGGAGGATTGAGAATCTCCATAGACATTCAGCCTTAGCCGTTCTCTTTTCCCCCCGACCATACAGGATCTTTGAACTGTCTGTTATAAGGGGGGGAAGGGAGGGGGTGTCATACAGATAGTCCTCAACTTACAACAGTTCATTTAGTGACCATTTGAAGTTACAGCGGCACTGGAAAAGGGCACTTAACGGCCGTTGCAGCATCCCACGGTCGCATGATTAAAATCCAGATGCTTGGCAACCGACTCGTATTTCTGGCGGTCACAGTGTCCCAGGATCACGGGATCCCCTTGATTCACTTAACAAGCTTGTGACTAATTTCATGGCTGCAGTGACTCACTTAACACTTGCGGCAAGAAAGATCGTTAAATGGGGGTGCAGGACTCACTTTGCAAACATCCTGCTTAGCGATCGGAATTTTGGGCTCGGCTACGCTTTACGGTGGCTTTCTCCAACCCGTTGTCCTCCAGAGGAGCGAGGCTATCTCAGAATCCCAGGCACCCATTTGAAATCATGAGGTTGGAGGGGTGGGTGTGTTCTTTCAAAAAGCCCAATGATTAGAATCAGCAAAGTTGTACGCCTGTATGCGGGGATAGCTTTGGGCACTACCTGAAAAACTTGAGGTCAACTTTATGTTACAGCAAGCAGCAAAATTCTGTTCATTCACAAATTTGAAACTCACTTCCTTTTTTTTTCCTCCCCCTCAACCTGTTTTTCCAGGTTGGTCAAAGTGACTCTGTACGGGTCCCAGATTAAACTCTACAACATTGAAACCGCAGTGCCATCTGTACTAAAACCCGACCTTATTGACGTGTGAGTATGACGCGAAAACCGCAACACTAAAAAGCCTATTTCTTGAACCCCATAAATGTTGTCCTTCTATAGCGGATCACCCTTGAACTGTTGCTTTTGGAGATACCAAGAGCCTATTCTGGGATGAGGTGGGCTGCGTGTCAACTTGTACAACATTCCTACACTGGCTTCCAAGTTGCCCAAAGAAAGAGAGTAGGGGGAACCCCTTAAGGAGCAGACGGGGCAAATAAACGTTCCAAGCTTATCTTACAGAGATTGCAACTGAGGCAACCGGGTATTCTGGGTGTGAAAATCCTCTATTGGAAAGTGTGATTGATGACACCTAACCCATGAATGTGTGTTCCTCTGGACAATCTGAATTAAGATACACCCAGAGCGGTGGGGAAACAGGGTCATAGGGGATCATAAATTACGTATCTCAGAGTCCGCCTCATACAGGCCATGCCAGTATGTCGCTCCTAATAAAATCTTTGAAGTTTTTTTGAAGTTTGGCCCAAGGTTCATGATTTAATGAGGGTGATTGTTGGAATTCTGGCATCGTGGCTGAGTCATCATCCGTGGTTGAGTCATCCCACCAAGGTCACTTCCAAGAATTCTTCTCCAGAGGTTATTTCTCAAGAGCCAAGAATCAAGTCATTCTCCCAGGCTCTGACAGCCTTCATGGATCCTGGAAGTATTCCTCCCAGATCCTCTTCTCCCACATGCTCGTTTATCAGAAAGCTGTTGGTAGCTTTTGACAGAAAGCCCACTTCCCCTTTCCCCAAATATTGTGGGACGCTTAAGATCCCTGATTTCTTCAGTCCTACCCTCGCTGCTAATATTCTAATGTCTTTGCATCGGATGCCCTCCATATTGCTTATTTCATCCCAGCCAAATAAGCTCCGGCATCCTGAGTCCTTTTGCCCTTCCTCCCATTCGCAAAAGGACATGAGCAAAATTCTCTTTAATGTTATTGTGCTAATGCTGGACATTTCGGGTACATTAACTCTTACTAATTAACTCTTACTAATCTCTCCCTTTTCACCTCTGGGGAAATAAAACCAATCCATATAAATTGAGATGCATTCATTTATGATGAATGGAGAATTGTGCAGGGCAGGCTCAGCTTGGACCCAGTCGTACTTCTGAGGTCCCAAGGCTTTGCCTTACGACAGTGTTTTCTCAACCTTCTCAGCGTTAAAACCAGTGGGCTCCAATCCCAGAATTCCCTAGCCAGCATGGCTCACTGGGGAATTCTTGGAGTTGATGTCTACCAGTTTGAAAGTTGCCACAGTTGAAAAACACGGCCTTAGGGCCAGTGGTGAGATTCAATTTTTTTTTTTTACTACCGGTTCGGTGGGCGTGGCTTGGTAGGCATGGCAGGGGAAGGATACTGCCAAATCCCCATTCCCTCCCCACCCCACTAACCTGCTTTCCAGCTCCATTCTCCTGTGCAGGGCAACCAAAGGAGACCCAGCCAATCAGCTAGGACTCAATGAGAGGCAGAGGAGAGATGGGGTTGGCGGGGCCAGTCAGAGGTGGGATTTGCCAGTTCTCCAAACTACTCAAAATTTCTGCTGCCGGTTCTCCAGAACCAGCCGGAACCTGCTGAATATCCACCTCTGCTTAGAGCACACACCCCTCCCCAACTGTTCTCCTTCCCTTTTAACTTTAAGGTCCCTTCTCTTTCCAGACACGCACAATCCCTGGCAGCTCTGCAGGCTTATTGCCACTGGCTGGCCCAGTACTACAGCGAGGTTCATCAGCAGAACCTGACCCAGTTTGTCTCCTTGGTCTCCACTGCTTTGGAAGCGATTGCTCCGTTGATCAGCTCTAAGGTATCTCCTGCCCGGCTTCCCATTTTCTCCTCCTTTGGCCAGGCACCGCTTTTATCGGTTGACGGATCCCTTCTCTTCCTCCAAAGCTCTTATTTCCAGCTTTGCTAAACTTCTTTTCTGGAGGGGGAGTTGAGGGATGTGGGTGGGAATTGATTGGCAGGGATCTCTGAAATAAAGTGGCCCACCATCCCAACCCAGAATCAGAGGCAGAGGTTTACTTCGTTCCTGCTTCTCCTCTCTGCCCAGTCCTTTATACGAGGGCTATCCACAAAATAGATTACGTTTTCGTCTGTAGCAAGAAGGGGCGGAGCTAGCGCGGCCATCTTTGCTCTGTGCGTCCGCCGCTCAGTCTGCATCTAGTCGTGCTAGTGGGAGGTTGGTATCGTTGCCCGTTATTTCACAGCCAACGTTTGAAATGTGTGCTGCAATTGAAAATCCCTCGAGAAAAGCCCCGATCTTGCTGTAGGGCGGATGAGGGAAAAATCTCCCCCTTGAAAGGACTTCTCGAGTGCGATTTGCTGTGTGTGGTCGGGCATTGTCATGCAAAAACAAAATTTTTGAGCTTAACTTTCCCTCTACGCTTGTTCTGAATTGCTTTTCTTAGTTTTTGCAACGTTTCACAATAATTTCAATCGGTTTATGGTTTTTTTGCCAACAAAAACCTGATCACTGATCGCACCTCACATCTCGCGGGATTTTCAATTGCAGCACACATTTCAAACGTTTGCTGTGAAATAACGGGCAACGATACGAACCTCCCACTAGCACGACTAGATGCAGACTGAGCGGCGGACGCACAGACCAAAGATGGCCGTGCTAGCTCCGCCCCTTCTTGCTACAGACGAAAACGTAATCTATTTTGTGGATAGCCCTCGTATTTTGGAGAATTGGCCCACCTCAACCATCTTGAAGATCCTGGAGTTGGGAAGTCTATAAATCAGGTCTACCTTATAAGGGGGAGGAGGATCTTAGCTGCTTCTCCTCCCCAAAACCTTGACTTCTGGAGATATTAGATTGCCGCTCCTAAAATCCACAATCAGCAGAAACATTGCTGACAAAAGATGGAGACCATCACATATTTTGGGGTGCCAAGCCGAATGAAGTTCTTCTAGATCTGTGATGGCAAACCTATGCCACTTCTGCTGGCACGCAAGAGGTCACCCGGAAGAGCCACACTGAGCATGCGCCCCCCGCCAGCCAGCTGATGGTTGGGTATCCGCTGCGCATGCGTGGAGGGAGATGCACTCATGGGAGAAGTGCGCTCCTGTGCAGAGGCATGTGGCGTGCACAGAGTCCTGCACGCATTGCGTCATGGGTGCAGGCACATAAGCGCACATGTGTGCGTGCACTTTTGGCACACAACGTGGAAAAGGTTAGCCATCACTGTTCTAGATGTTCCTCTCCTGCAGTTTCAGAGGCTGCTGCAAAGAAGCAGGACTTGGCCAGGCCGAGTTTAGGACCTCTTTGGAATGAGGGGGTCTGTTCTGACCCAAACCCTTGTCCAATAAAACAAACATGAACCAAAGGGAACAGAGACCTTTTAATGATTCTTACAAATCCCCGGTTAAAAGGCTGCTGCAAACTAATTAACTTTGATAAGCATGAGCCTCGCCAAAACTGTACAAGACTGCCAAGAATCACAGATAAGAAATAATTTATAACACAAGAGTCTTCAAATACCAAAATACTGCAATGTTCATGAGGTTGGAGTTTCAAAACGTCTTTGCTTCCTGCAAAGAACGTCTGATTCACAGCTGGCTTTTATCTTCTTGAAGGATGGGCCATTACCTTGCAGCCTTGCTCCCGAGTTGCCTGTGCTGCTGCAGCTGCTCTTTCCTCCAAGCAATCCTGCGTGCACGTGCACTTGGCACAGGCTCCTCGGGAACCTCCTCATCGCTGCTGCCAGCCCCCACAATCTCTGAAGGCAGCAGTCCACTCCCTAATGGTCCTGGCCCCTCATCTGAGTCCTCATTCTCCTCAGCCGTCCGCACCTGCTGCCGGCTAACCACAACAGGGTCCCTCAAGAATCTCCAAACCAATTCAAGTGATTTCTAGAGGCCAGTGTTTCCTTTGCAGCGTTTCTGTATCAGAAAACATCTAATCTCTTAAACACTGTCTTCATTTCCTGACCTAAAGACTTTCATATTCAAGTTGAGGTCTCTCATTTTTTCTCTCTCCTCCCCTTGTTCTCCTCCCACTCCGCCCTTCCTCCAGGTACAGGAGAAGCTCCTCTTGTCAGCCTGCCATCTGCTTGTCTCCTTAGCCACCACAGTGCGGCCCGTGTTTCTCATTAGCATCCCAACCATGCAGAAAATGTTCAACAGGATTACCGATAGCTCTGCTCAACGCCTTTCGGATAAGGTAAGGATGACCTTTGGGGACCAAGCTCAGGCATCCCGATTAGATGGCCAGGCGTGGCTGTCCGTTTGAGACACGGTGCTTTCAACTCTTGTTCCTGAAACAAGATCCTAGGAAGAGATTGGACAGCCCTTGGGTCTGGAGCCTTTGTAGTCAGAACTATAATCTCCTGCTTGAGGAGGGGATTGGACTAGAAGACCTCTGAGGTCCCTTCCAACTCTGTAATTCTGTATTCTGCGATACCATAACCTTATGACGATGGTCAGAGGGCAGCTCCTAGTTCAGGGGAGTCAAAGTCGATTTCATGGAGAGCTGCATCAGGGCTGTGTTTTACCTCCAGGGGCTGGGGTGGGTGTGGCCAAGGAGGGCGTGGCCAGCTCAGTGTCACATGTGTCGGGGGCACCTGTGACGGCCCAAGCGCTCTGCCAGCAAAAAGGGGCTCCCGAGCTTCGTTTTCGGTTGTGACAGCCTCCTACAACACTCTGCCGGTGAAAACGGAGCTCCGTTTTTGCTGGTATAGGCACTGCGATCCGGCCCTTCATTGTTTCCAGATCTTAGCACCCCACGGGCCACATCTGAGCCGCGTTTGACACCCCCTGTCCTAGTTGCACAATCTTTCTTCCTCCTCCTCCTCCTCCTCTCTCTGGCTTTCAGCTTGGTTGCTCTTACTCTCTGCAGGCCCAAATCCTCCTGTGCAGATCACTGTCAAACATCTTGCTCCTACCGTGGCCAAGCCTCCCGGAGGCTGAACAGCAATGGGCCATTCGTTCAACTAACCACGCCAGCCTCATATCGGCCCTCACCAGGGATTACCGCAGCCTGAAATCCAGTGCCATCTTGCCCCAGAGAAAAAATCAGCAGGACAATAGTAAGTCGCCCCAGGGCAGGTTTTTAGTAGTCATAAAATATGGGAGACATGGGGGACTAGGGTGGCTTTTCGAGAGCATCCATCGGGTCCCTCTTTAGAGGTGGCTGAAAATCGCTATCAAATTCCTGTTTGCTAGAGAAGGCCTCTCTTTTTCAGGCTGTATTTTTGAAAGTGATACCGACATTTGTTTCTTCCTTCCTGGGGTCTTTGAATTCCTATAAGTGGGCATTTTCCTTAGGTTGTCCCAAGAAAAGCAAGATTTTTTACTCAGAAACTCCGAACTTCGAACAGGAATTGAGTTTAATGTCTAGTTAAATGAAAAGAATGACCATGGATGACATCATAGCAGTGTCCCAATATTTGAGGGGCTGCCACAAAGAATGGGGTGTGTGTGTGTGTCAACCAATTCTCCAACGCAGGGGTCCCCAACCACCGGGCCGCTGGTTGCTGGGCGCCGCCATCTTTTTTTGACGAAAAAGTGCTTCCGGTGAGCTTTTCTGGGTAGAAAGCTCACCGGAAGCACTTTTTCATAAAAAAAAGATGGCGGCGCCAGCACTTCCGGTGAGCTTTTCCAGGTAGAAAGCCATTTCTACCCGGAAAAGCTCACCGGAAGCACTGGCGCCGCCATCTTTTTCATCAAAAAAAGATGGCGGCGCCCAGCTGATGCCGGTACCGGGCCGCGGCGCCCAGCTGATGCCGGTACCGGGCCGCGGCATAAAAAAGGTTGGGGATCACTACTCCAACGCATCTAAAGGCAGAAGAAGAAGTAACAGATGGAAACTTATTAAAGAGAGGAGCAACCTAGAACTAAGAAGAAATTTCTTGAAAGTGAAAACAATTAACCGGTGGAATGATTTGCCCTCCAGAAGTTGTGGGCGCTTCATGACTGGAGACTTTTAAGAAGAGACTGGACAGCCATTTGACAGGAATAGTATAGGGTTTCCTGCCTAAGCAGGAGGTTGGATTAGAAAAAGACCTCCAAGTGTCCCTTCTAACTCTGTTATTCTGTACTCAAGCAAAAAAAAATAAAAAATCCAGCCCAGATTTAAACTAGAAGCTACATATAGAATATATGTAGAACATACTAGAAGCTGGCACCACCAATACCTTCCACCTTTGTAGCCAAGTGTAATTGGATACACAACAAATTTGTCGCCAGCGCAGAAGCTCTCACTGTACATACAAGCAATAAGTGATAAATCATGATAAAGATGAGCATAAAACACATTTATTATAAATCATAAGATACAACACTTAGTGATAGTCATAGGACACTAAATAAGCAATCAACGTAAATCATACTAGGATACTAAATAAAACAATTAATATAAATCATAAGATACAAGCAGCAAAGTCGATTTAAAAAAAAAAAAAGCAAGCTTGAACTACCAATTGGCATGGTGCCTGCGCTCAGAAAGAGATTTAAGCATTTCCCCCAGAAGCTGGTGGCAGGGAAATTGGCAGACATAATGCAAATATACTTTTTGTTTAGCTTAAAAATTCTTTTTTTGATCCTCAAGGAACTTGTTCCAACAGCTCATGTTCCCAAGGTTTCTTTGAAAACTTGAACATGCTATGTTGTTTTTTTTGTTTTTCCCAAAATTTTGAGAAATGCTATCCATTTTCAGATAAAAAGAGAATGTTTTGGGATGAGGTAAGAGTATTAAAATAACTTAAAGCCTGTTACCAAAAAAAAAAAGGATTTGAAAGCTTTTAAAATTGGTTTTTTTTTATGGTTTGCAAATGATGTTTATACTAATAGCTGTATTAGCCTAAGCTTTGTCAAGGCTTTTTTGCCTTGCCACGAGAGCTATAAATAACTAAATTTATTAAATCTGGTTTGAACCTAATTGCATGCAACCAGTATCAGTGACGTTTAGCATAGCTATCGTAAGTAATTAGTAGCGTTCAAAATGTTTTGCTTTGGACTGTATTTGACACAAAATTCCACGTAATACCTTGTACACGTGCAAAACTATAGTCTTGAGCACTTTTAGAAGTATGCTGATACAGTATAGAGCTGCTGGCCTGTTTTTAAGCTTAGAACTCTTTCAGAATGCTCACGACTGCCGTTTATGCCCTTACAAGAGGACATTTTGTTAAAAAAAAAATCTGTGCTCTGTACAGTCTGAAACGAAGCCCTTTGAAATGACTTGCACGCTTGTGCAAGGATGAAATGTGTTTGAATATTAGTAGCTCGGGCTGGTAGTTAGGTTGTTGGTTTGAACTGGGAACTTGGCAACTCGGTTGAGAACCGCTTTGTCACTATTCGAGGAGACATCGTCGGTGTGCTTTGAGTTGGGCTCATTCTGGCAGTCAAGCCCAACTCACAACACAGCGACGATGTCTCCTCGAGTGGTGACCAAGTGTTTGCAACTGAGTTGCCAAGCTTGGAGCTCAAAGCAACAGCCTAACTTGTGCAAAGATGCTTTACCAGAGGCGTTATGTTTTGCAAACTAACATATTGGTGAAACTTGTTTACATAAACGTTTAGACATGGACAACACAAGAAAATGACATACGTGCATGCCTTTAGGTGACAGTTGATCACATGTTCAGGCAATAGGAATGGTAGTTGGTAGGAGGATTTATCCTGGTATACAAAGAAAATATCGCCTCCTCAGTCACCCCTGCCAGCAATCTTCCATGGCATTTCCTGAACTTCTGGAATCTGGGGCATGTCGCTTCTATAAATTAAAGCTGAAGGCAGATATTAACCATTAAGTTCAGAAAGTAACAAAAATCCCAACAGGATTTTTGGATTATTCAGAAGAACCTGCCTGCTGTATAGGTTGTCCTCAACTTGCGACCACAACTGAGCCCAAAATTTATGCGGCTGAGTGAGACAGTTGTTAAGTGAGTTTTTCCCTCATTTGACGACCTTTCCGGCCACCATTGTTATGTGAGTCACTGCGGTTAAGTTCGTAATACCGTTGTAAAATGAATCTGGCTTCCCCCGTTGACTTCGTTGGTCAGGAGGTCACAAAAGATGGTCATAACATGACCCGGGGACACTGCCACCGTCATAAGTACGAAGCCAGTCCCCAAAGTGCCTGAATTTTGATCACGCAAGCACGGGGAATCTGCAGTGGTTGTAAGCGTGAAAAAAAAAGTCGTAAGTCACCTTTTTCAATGCCGTTGCAACTTCTAATGGTCACTAAAGAAATGGCCGTAAATTGAGGACTACCTGCACTTCCCCCCACCCAAATGGGTCCATCAGAACTTCAAGCAGTCACTAAGTGATTGGTCATCATGGAGCTGCAAGAGAGGCCCATTTCTGGATGGGGTTCCTGGACGCCTTTTGTGTCCTTCCCAAGGAACTCGGTCATTGTAGAGCAGGGGTGTCAAACTCGGATTTCATTGAGGACCAAAACGGTTGTGTTTGACCTTGGGGGAGGCGGGGGGGGCTGGCATGGGCATGGCAGGGTGGTCGTGGCCAGCTCGACATCACTTGTCTTAGGGCACCTGTGGTGGCCTGAGCTCTTTGGCAGCGAAAAGTTTTGGCTGCGAACGGCCTCCTGCAACCCTCCGCCAGCGAAAACGGAGCTCGGGAGGGCTCCATTTTCCCCGGCAGAAGCACCCCGGGCCAGTCCTTCTCTGTTTCCAGGGCGTCCCAGCAGGCTGGATTCGGCTCAAGGGCCTTGAGTTTTGACACCCCTGTTGTAGAGGGTCCAGCTTGGGAAGGTCTCCCCCTCTGCCTCCCTCTCTTCTGAATATAGCAGCTGATATTGCTGTGGGGGTGACGGTTGGCATGTTCCCTCTTGATCTTGCAGCGAAAGTCCTTATCCACCAGACTCTCAGCATCCTGGAAGACATCGTGGAGAGCGTCTCTGGGGAAGCCACCAAGTCTCGCCAGATCTGCTACCAATCGCTGCAGGAATCTGTCCAGGTCTCCCTTGCCCTCTTCCCAGCTTTCATTCATCAGTCAGGTATAAACTCAGACCGGCTTTTCCCGGCCCGTCAACCTTATAGTATGTCCATCTGAAATTAAATTTCCTGGATAGCAGTTCCTAGAGAACACTGTGGTCCAAAGAAGAGAAGGATAAGAGGCAGGAGAAAAATTAAATTAGACGCCGTTTAGATTTAAAGTTAATATTGATCTGATCACTCTTCAGTCCTCTGTTTAAGAATTTGGGTTCTGCTTCAGTCATGGACCTTCTTTTGAAGCTCCCGAAGGATACCCTCCATTGCCCATGTTCGTCATTGGACAAAAAATTGAAAAAAAAAGAAATAAAATATAAAAACAATACTTAAAAGGTAATGAATTAAAAACAAAACAGTTCAAAAGGCAGTTGTCATTCAGTGGGACTTCACTGCCGCCTAGCTCAACAGTGGACTTCGGACTTCAACTCCTGGCTGGGTAATTCTGGGAGTTGAAGTCCATAAGTTTTGAGTTGCTCAGGTTGGACAACCCTACACTAGAATTTAAGAGGAAACCATTCCGAACTGTTACCTTGGCATGAAGAGGCTAAAATGGGCTTCAGGCTGTTGTTGTTGCTGTTGTTATCTTCTTAATACTGCTGGTGCTTTAGAGAGGCCTGTCATCAGCCACTCCACTTCAGACACTTTGCTGGGAGAGACAACTTGGAAAAACTCCCCGGGGAAGGAGAGCCGCTTTCATCCTCTGATCCTTGTTCCTTCTTGCCTCCTCTCTTTCTGTTTTTTTTTTCCAGACATCACAGACAAAATGCTAAGCTTCTTCCTGACCCTGTTCCAAAGCCTGAGGGTGCAGATGGGGGTGCCTTTCACCGAGCAGGTGATACAAACATTCCTCAACATGTTTACCAGGTAATGATGCCTCCGTGGAAATCATCAGAAGCATCCATCGGTTGTCAGGCCCACCTTTAGTAGTTATAGAGGAGATTTTGCTACTGGAAAAGCAGGTGCCAGTTCATCAGCCAAAGGGCTTATTACCTGAACTGGTGTGAAATTTGGAGGGTTAGGTGGTTCAGCAGCGATCCCTCCACATTAAGGGAGTCACTGTGTAAACCAGGTCATCCCGTTAATAAGTATTGCCCTGGGTATAAAACTAAAACATCACAGAGAGCTAATTTGGATTAGTGGCAGAAGTGCTGGCCTAGGAACCAGGTATCTGTGAGTTCTAGTCCCGCCTTAAGCACGAAAGGCAGGTGGGTGATTTTGGGTCAATAACCACATAGCCTGAGAGTTCTAGTCCTGCCTTAGGCCTGAAAGGCAGCTGGTTGACTTCAGGTCAATGACCAGTTCTGGTCCCACTTTAGGTATGAAAGCTCACTGAGTGACTTTGGGCCAAGATGGAGAGTTTTAGTCCCACGTTAGATATGAAAATCATTTGAGTGACTTTCTCTCGGCCCAACCCGCCTTGTTGTGAGGAAAATATGAGAAGAAAGTATTAAGATATGTTTACCACCTCGAATTACTTATAAGAATAATAAATGTGGGATTAAAAAAGATCAAATCAATAAATATAATTGTCTGGCTTTTGCCATCACTGTACTTGGGTTTCCTTGGGCCCAGAATTTAATACAGAGCTTTGAATCTGGCTCAGTCTACAGAGAGAGACCTCCCTGTGTTCCTGACTCTTCAGCAGCTGTCCAGGTGGAGGGGATTCCTCCCAGCTCTGAGCATCTCTCTCAAGTCACCGGCTTGGTGTGTTTTGCCACAGGGAGCAGCTGGCCGAGAGCATCCTCCATGATGGAAGCACCGGCTGCCGGGTGGTGGAGAAGTTCCTGAAGATCCTTCAGGTGGTGGTGCAGGAGCCCGGCCAAGTGTTCAAGCCCTTCTTGCCAAATATCATTGCACTTTGCATGGAGCAAGTCTACCCAATCGTTGCCGAGGTAGGACGAGTAGCCTCAGAGGAGACGTAGTTGGTTTTTACATTAGGGGGCGGAGAGGAGTAGCTGCTGAGGGCTGGGCTCATCGTCTATCCAAATGCTTGTCGGCAAAGCAATGAGATGGTTGTCAGCATTCCAGGAAACCTCAACTTCGATAAATAACTCCGAGGCAGACATGTTCTCAAAGTTTCCTTTTATTAGAGTAGTAAACTGGCACATCTGGGAAATCCCGAATCTGAAAGTTCCAGGTTTTCCTCCAATAAGTTAAAAACATTACAAATCCACCCCCCTGCACCCCTCATTCCATCACGTGCCCCAATCGCCCTCCGTCCCAATTTGAGGCATCCCCTCTACTTCTCCTCAGCCAGGTGCAGGAATAACACGACCTTGACTTTAAAGAAGAATGCTGTTATGTCTAAGCACATACCCTCCATGGAATTCTTCTCTCCCATTTTCCCAGGCTCAAAATGGTGGCAGCGTGGTAGCGTTCTGGTGCTAATATGGCTTCCAAATATGGCTGACAACGGTCCATGTGTGCCAGGAACCAAGAACTGACACAAGGAGTTACTTTGGAGGAGTTGCTCACCTGTAGGCAGGGATCTTGCCAGACTAAAACACAAATCTGCATAACTATTAGATACGCCTCTGAAAGGTTAGGGAAGGTCAGCCCTGCCTCTCTTCCTGCATACCAAGGGTTTTGTTCTGAGCTGCCTCTTCGCTTCCTCTTGCTACTCTGTGCCAGATTCTACCACATCTTGCCTGGAAGGAAGCACGTAAACTGAAGGAGGCGTGCAGAAGCCATTTGCCCAGGCAAAAGGAGCTGAAACAGTGAAAAATGACTAAGGCAGAAACCTCCCAAAATTCACCGAAGTATAAAGGGGGGGTGTAGGCCCAACACAATCAGATGTCAGCTCGTAAAGCATCCCTATGCCTGTTTTCGAGTTGCCATAAACAAGGGTGGGAGGGGCAAACCCGAAGGAGCAGGGCGGCAGTTTAAAACCAGAAGTACATTCCAAAACTTATCTTAAAAAGATTGTAGCTAAGCTACTGGATCTTCTGCGCTCACCAATCCTTCATTGGAGAATGTGATTGATGACACCCAGCCCGTGAACGTGCTTCAATGGAGAATCTGATTTATTTATTTCATAAATACTTATTTTATTTATTTATTTATTCATTTCATTGGAGAATCTGATTTATGAGATCCCCAGAGGGGAGAGGGGGAAACAAGGTCACAGGTGACTGTAAATTATGCATGCCAGAGTTGGCTTCGTACAGGTTAATGCCGGACATGTTGCTCCTAATAAATCTTTTGGTTTCTTTTGAAGCTTGGCTCGAGGCTCCTGATTTAATTAGGGCAATCACAGGAACCCTGACCTCAGACTTGCAAGATTCTCTTTCGAGTAGCCCATCTCAATAAAAGTAGCTTTGTCCTTCTTACGAAATTGACTTCCTAGTCTGGTCTACGTAGTAAGTCTGGCAGGTAGCAACAGACTGGCAGGAAGATACTGGAATGCTGGCTGGAGTCGAATTCCACACCTGTTAAGAGCTGACAATCAGCAATAGAAAGAGCAGAAGTCAACAAATCCAATGTGCTGATCAGTTGGTTTTATTTTGTTCGTTGCGTTTATTGAAGAAGCAGCTTATCCCCAGCTCACCTCTCGCCCCAACCCCTTAAGAGAGGGAAGGCTTTTAAAGAACTTCCTGGTCACTGTTGGCATCTGCCCTGCAGCGAGCATCCCTGTCTTTGGGTTTCTTCATCTGTCTTGGACCCAAACAGCCCAGTCTGAAGAACCTGATTCCAACCCTATGTGCTTTTCTTGTCCCCCAGCGGTCTTCTCCTGATGTGAAAGCCGAACTCTACGAGCTGCTTTTTCGGATTTTGCACCACAACTGGCGGTACTTCTTCAAGTCCAACGTCCTGGCCAGCGTCCAGAGAGGAGTAGCTGAGGAGCAGATGGAGAACGAAGCCCAGTTCAGTGCCATTATGCAGGTATCATACCATGATGTTGTTGTTGGTGGTGCTGTCCATTCAGTCGTGTCTGACTCTTGGCGATTCTGTGGGCCAGGTCTCTCTCCACATGTTCTGATCTTGCACTACTTCTTTTGAGTTGTTCTGCACTCTAAATGGTGTCATCTTCAATAGTGTCCGGCCACCATGTTCTTTGACGGTCTGGTTTTACCATAACAGCAAATGACAAAGGCTCAGGTTGCAGTTAGAGAGATGCATCAGGCAGCAGAATTTCATTTGTAATGTGGACCAGTTGCTCACAGTAAAAGAAGACAATAAAAGTTATCTGTCATGCCCCTGACTTGGAGGGGGAAGCCGAACAGTTGACAGGGAGTAGGAGTGTGGCTCCGTTGGCTGGGGAAGAAACTGGGGAAGGGCACAGTCCAGCTGGGCAGAGCAGGGGAGAGGTAGAGCAAGGGAGAGGGAATTCGGAGGAAGATTCGGACCTACCCCCTCTTCATTCTAGGGCACGCAGGGAGGAACAGAGAAGGGAGAAACTTGAGTTTCATGGCTTATGTGGGAGGAAAGGGCCCTGATTCCCTTCATTAGCTGTAGCTGGGAACACAGCGTATAAAAGAGGAAGCTGCGCACAGCAAGTTGTTGGGAGCAAATCGTGACTTTATCTGGTATCATTGTGGCTTATCTGTGTTCCTGGCGTCTTCCCAACTGTGAGTTTTGCCGTGCTTTCAAGTTTGAAATTCCTTCTCCTGCCCTGTCCAATTAATTACTTCAGCTTGGTTTGTTTGGATGTTTGCATGTACCTTGTTTTGGGCTGAATTTTCTGCAGCGAAAGCCTGTTCCTGGGAGAGTTTTTCTCCAGCCGAAGGTAACCTGGACATTGGGGACAAAGTTGGAGATAATAAAGGGGCTCTTATTGCTTATTTGACTGTGTTGCCTTTGTGCCACGCCCCTTTGGGTCATCACATTATCTTAAATTAAAACGTGGACTTCAACTCCCAGAATTCCCTGGCCAGCTTTGCTCCAGAGGTTTAATGTGCGCTGTTCTCATGACGGGCTGAAGCATTCCCTTAGTGTGAGTCCACATTTAGTTACCCCGGGGTATCTCTCTGTGCCGTCAGTTCTTCCCACTGGGCCTCATCCACACCCTTCTGAGACGTGTCTGTTCCCTAGGCATTTGGCCAGTCCTTCCTGCAACCTGACATACACCTGTTCAAGCAGAACCTGTTCTACCTGGAGACTCTGAACACCAAGCAGAAATTGTACCACAAGGTGAGCGGTGATTTATTCGGAAAGCCAGAGGGGGGTCAATAACCTGCAGGCGACAGAAAATATTCTTCCCCACAACTGCCTGGCGTAGGAAGGACTGTTGGCTTGGTGAGAGCCTAGCACACCTGCCACTTCTGAAAAACTCCTCAGCAAAGTGCAGATGTATCTGTCATGAAATGATTGTCCCCAAAATGCTTTTTTTTTTTCCAAGAGGCAACTGAACTTTCTTGTTTTTCTTTGAAGATGTTTTGCTTCTCATCCAAGAAGCTTCTTCAGCTCTGATAGGATAGTGTGAAATGGGAAGGCTTTATACTCCTTGCGGACAGCTGGTCATTTGCATCCTTTGAGAGGGTCACTGAGGCCACTTGGAGGTTTACCTGCATCCTCAGGGACAACCTGAGTAGTACAAACATGGTGGAGCCTTCGTGGGACTGCAGAAAAGGACTGTGTTGTGGAGCTGTGCTTTCTGCAGGATGTTCTCTGCCCTGTGTCCCTTCAGTGTTGAACACAAGAAGGTTCCACATCCATTTGCACCACTCAGGTGACCCTAAGGACACAGACAAACCTCCAAGTGGCCTCAACGACCCTCTAAAAGGATGCAAATGACCAGCTGTCTGCAAGGAGTATAAATCCTTCTCATTTCACACCATCCAGTCAGAGCTGAAGAAGCTTCTTGGATGAGAAGGAAAAACATCTTCAAAGAAAAAAACCCAGAAAGTCCAGTTGCCTCCTGAAAAAAAAAAAAAGCATCTTTGAGACACTGTGACCCAGATGACTGAGAATGTCTTACAGACCTGTAACGAAACAGTAGATTTTTTTTTGGGGGGGGGGGGGGGGATCCCCGTTTTCCCCTGGCCTTTTTTTTTTTTTTTTGCTCCCCGTTTCCTGCAGAAGCTCTTCCAGGCATCGATGCTCTTTCAGTTTGTGAATGTGCTGCTTCAGGTCCTGGTCCACAAATCCCACAACCTCTTGCAAGAGGAAATCGGCATCGCCATCTACAACATGGCCTCTGTGGACTTTGACAGCTTCTACTCGGCTTTCCTGCCGGGGTTCTTAGCTGGCTGCGACAGGGTGGACACCAACCAGAAAAACGTCCTCGGGAGGAACTTCAAGATGGACAGGGTGAATTTGGGTTTGGGGGGGGCCCCGCACAGGCCAATGGTATCCTTTCTCCCCCGCCTGGGGGGTGGGTGGGCGGTACAGTTAGTCCTCGGCTTACGACTGTTCCTTTAGCGACCGTTCGAAGTTTAATAAGCCATGCGGATGTTATTTTCCACGCGGTCCTCTTCCTGGGAGTCATTCTGGGAAGGTGGGCCTTGGCTTATTTTCCAAGAATCATAAAAATAGACCTCGTTTTCCCCAGAACCACGGACTTTGAATTGTTTGCTTGTGTATTTCTACATTGGCCCGGTGACTTTTTCATCAAATAATGCAAAACAAGAAAAATCGATTGAGAAAACTTTCATTTGCTTTTCAGTGGAGGCTGGTAAAAGTCCAAAAAAAGAAAGAAATCCTCTTTATTATAAGGTTTTACAGGCAATCATCCTTGGTCTTTTCTTTTATGTACACTGAAGACATTTGCAGCAGGACAATTTCCTTGTGTGTCCAATCACACTTGGCCAAGAAAGAGTATTCTATTCTATTCTCTTTAGTGACCAAAGGAAATTACAACTCGAAAAAAAATAAGACTGTTTTCATAGGGCCCCTTTTTTACACTTCACGACCGTTGCAGCCTCCCCATGCTCACACGATCGAAATCCAGGCATTTAGCAGCGGATCCATATTTAGAGCAGTTGCAATGCCCTGAGGTCCCGCGATCTCCTTTGGTGACAGAAAAACAAAGCCAACGGGGAAGCCAGCTTAAACAACGCTGTTACTCCTTTAACAACTGCAGTGATTCATTTAACAAGTGTGACAAGAGAGGTCATAAAATGGGGCAAAATTCACATAACAAACGTTTCGCTTAGCAGCAGAAACGTTCCGCTCGATGGTGTTTGTAAGACTAGAGCTGTATTTGGTAAATGTAACCTTCCCAAATGCACTTGCATTCCAATTAAGATCAGTGGTGGAATTCAACCGGTTCACACCGGTTCAACAGAACCGGTTATTTAACTTTCTGAGCACTTTTGGTGAACTGGTTGTTGGAAGAAATCATTAGGCCGGAGAACCAGATGTTAACTTGTTTTAATCCCACCATTCGATAAGATGTTATTGAAAGCTGAGCCTTTTCCATCGCAGTCTGCCCTCTCTCCCACCAAAGCCTTCACACCCATGAAACTCGTCCATAGAGTAAGTTTACGAAGCCCAGGGGCTGGATGACTCCTATCATGCTGAGCCACAACCAGGAAGCCCATGCGATGAGGAAGTGTGATGTGTGAAATCCATCATGTAGGGATTTGTTTATAGAATCTGCTATTTGCTTGGTCCCAAAGTTTCACAGGGTAGTTTCCGGATGCCCATATGTTTGGAGAATAAACCGAGCCGTAAAAAATGATGGGGAAAAATCAATAAAAGGAGAATATTTGTAGCTCAGGGTTGAAGTAAGGGTCTCTGAGCTTGGTTGCCCCCCAGGTGCTTTTTTTTCCAAGAAGCAACTGGACTTTCTGTTTTTTCTTGGAAGATGTTTCACTTCTCATCCAAGAAGCTTCTTCAGCTCAAAAGAAAAACTAGAAAGTCCATTTGCCTCTTGAAAAAGCACCTTTGGGACAACCACGACCTGGATGACTGAGAATCTCCATAGACTCTGAGCTTGGTTGTTTTCTTGTAGACTTTTTTTATTACCCAACTGAGTTAGCACTGATGAGGTTTCCTAGTTGGTTAATGAAACTCCTGCAATAAAACAACCAAGCTCAGAGAGTACCAAGGACCCCACATCATCTCCTCCTCCTCCTCCTCCTCCTCCAAACCCCACTCCCTTTTAGCACTGATAACGTTACCGAGTTGGGTCATGAAACATCTGCAACAAAACAACCCAGCTCAGAGAGCACCAGGGAAATGCTCCTATTGTAAGCAGCCTTTTTGAGCTTCCAGCTGACCAGAGCGTAACTAGCAAAGATCTTCCTCCCCGCTCTAACCCGCTTCCTTCTGCCGTTTTCTTCCCTCCTTCCCAGGATCTGCCGTCGTTCACCCAGAATGTGCACAGGCTGGTCAACGACCTGCGCTACTACAGACTCTGCAACGACAGTTTGCCCCCGGGGACTGTGAAGTTGTAGCCGCCGCCGACGGACGGACGGACTCGAAACGGTTTCGATCTCCCGTCAAAGGAGTGGGACCCGGCCTTGCCGCTTGCCTCTGTTCCTCCGATCTCGACGAGCCCTTTCGGGAGTGCAGAGTGCCCCACCCCACCCCATGTGCAGGTCAGGGCACGAAAGGCAGAGGCCGTGCCCCTTTCCTCCGTTTCCCTCCCATCTCGACCTCACGGCTGAGTAGGCAGCTCTTTCTTCCCCCAGGGACTCGGAAGACCGGCCGTTTCCACCATACCCCCACACCCACGGCTGGGCGTTTTGTGTCTTAATACTGTGGCGTCGATTCAAGTCTACAGGTTTTCGGTGACTCGTCTTGTGCCGCCATCACAAGGCAGAAACACCAAAGTCTACTTGAGGGGGTCTTCTCCCCCCGCCTTCATGCCATTCCACTTGCTGCCCTCCCTCCCCCGTTGCTGAGAGGATGGTCCCTCCCCAATCACCCACCCACTTGGTCCTGTTTTTACAATGCCTTGAACCCTCCCTGCCCCTTGGTGGAGATTCACAGAGGAAGAGAGAGAGAGAGAGAGAGAGAGAGACCAACAGACTTGACTTCTGTTTCTTTTATTATTATTATTTTCTAAAACCATGGTTTTTGTTTTTATTGTCCTTGTCATTCCATTGTGATACTAAAATGTGCTTCATGGAAATAAATAAATAAAAAAGCTTACTTGGATGTTTTAAAAACGGACGGGAAAGCCGCCTCTCACTCTCTCCGAAGGATTTAAAGGTCGCAGGACGCCCCAGGATGCCATCCCTGGACGATCCCCAAAATATTTCTTCTCCTTGGTGAAATATATGATTAAGCCCTGCGAGAGTACTTGGACTAGATCTGTGATGGCGAACCTATGGCATGCACGCCGGAAGTGGCATGCAGAGCCACTTCTGCTGGCACGCGAAAGTGGTCACCTGGAAGAGCCCCGCTCTGCAGGCGCACACATCCCCCCGCCCGCCACCTGATTGTCGGGTATCTGCCACGCGTGCACGGCGGGAGACACGCGTGGAAGACGTGCGTGCATGCACAGGCATGCAGCGTGCAGGGGGGTTGCATGCACGCACATTGCATCATGGGTGCAGGCACACGAGCGTACTTTTGGCAGACAACGTGGAAAAGGTTAGCCATCACTGGACTAGATGATCAATCCGGCCTCTATGGGTAGTCCTCGACTTACAACTGTTCCTTGACCGAAGTTAAAACGGCATTGGGGGTGGAAATGATTTGTGACTCTTTCACGCTGGCAACCGTTGCAGCATCTCTAGGGTCACGTGATCAAAACTCAGGCGCTTGGCAATTGCCGCGTAATTATGACGGTTTGCAGCATCACACGATCCCTTTTTGTGGTTTTCTGAGAAGCAAAGTCAACGGGGAAGCCACATTCACTTAACAACCATATTTCTAGCTTGATAGCTGCACCAATTTTTAAATTTTCTAGCTTAACCACTGCACTGATGGTTAAAACAATGGCAAGAAAGGTCTTGAAATGGCGCAAAACTCACTGAACGAATGTCTCGCTTAGCGACAGAAATTTTGGGCTTGGTTGTGGTCGTAAGTCAAGGACTACCTGTATAATACATTATTTTATACTGGTTTTTTTTTAAGGCATGCGTTTCTTCATGATAGCCCAATGAGATAGACTGCCACTGTGTTTCTCCTAACTGATGAATGGACGCTGGGTGAGATGCTTTAAGGCCATTTAGCGAAAAGATGGATAAACTGAACCCACGGATAGTTCAGCTTCAATCCCTGAATCCCTCTGCCATATTAATTCAGTCCATGGACCAGTGCTGGGCTTTCAATGCTGCTGTTGTGGTTCGCTGGCAGCTTGTGCAGATGGCAGCGGAATCGGACAGTGGGGAAGAACAGGGACCAGTTTGGGAGTCTGGAGAAGAGTCGGATGAGGGTCCTGCGTCTGATGCGGAGATGGCGCCAGGACCATCTGGGAGTGGGGTGCTGCCTTTGGAGCCTCCGGAGTCTGGCAGCAGCGAGGCAGAGGACCCAGGGGAGCCTGTTCCCAATGCGTGTGTGCGCAGCTGCTAGAAGGCAAGAGCAGCTGAGACAAAAGGGGCTACTCGGGAGTAAGGCTTGGAGGTGATTGCCCTTCCCATAACGTATAAAGGAAGTGCAAAGGTAGAGAAACCTTTGCAGGAAGCAAAGTCATTTGCTCTGTTCGGATTAAAGCTTGAAGCTCTGTGTGGATTTTGTACTTTGTTTTTTTTATAGTTCATTTGGCACTTTAGTTATTGGCAGCAAATCAAAAGGGAGAAAGGTGGGTGCTTATCTCAAGGGACTGTGGGACTCATTACAGGCTGAGGATGCACATAATTCCCAGCGTTGAAATAAAACAAGGGTTTTAACTAAGTGCATGCTTGATTATGGTCTCAGGAAGCTTTGGTCAGAACAGCTGCTGGGTTTATTTTTAATTCTGGAGCTCTGGATTTTCTCGCTGGTGATTTGTGTTTCCAGATTGGACAATCTGGGCAGACTGGACATTTGAATCCTTTGGGCCCATGTTTTTTTTTTCCTCCATGCCTTATTCTTCGACTTGTGGGTGCTGAAACATGGAATCTCGATCCATGCTTGTAGTTGGATTTTGGCCCCAAACCCGTCCTCTGTGTCCCTGGCCTGGGGACGGGATCAGCAGCTTGCGAAAACGCCTGGCTAGTTGCAGGTTGCATGTTTAACCCCCGTGCGTATTTTTTTGTCATCGGGATCGATCAACCGAGGGCATAGATTTATTTGGAAAGCATCTGGAGCCAAATGAAAGCAGTTGTGTTTCTGATATTTGGGGGCGGGTCAATATCGAGAAAAACCGAATGTTGCCCTCCTAGCTTTGGTTATGGACTGAAAAAGTGAAGCAGGGAGAACAGTAGGCGGTGAGAGCGAGTTGCACATGCTTCACCATTTAGTGCTTGACAAATGACCATAATGAAGCCTGCCCATTGTGGTTGTATGTTGTGACGGTTGTAAAGCAGGTCAGTTACGTGAACGATCCGATTTTGTGATGTTTTTTTTGTGGCGGTTTTCAACGCGCATGGCGGTTGTTGAATACCATAGTTTGTTAAGCAAGCCAGCGGCTCCCTGTGGGTGAAGTTTTGCCAGAAATGGGAAGCGGGGGCCAGTTTTCTGCAGAACCATCCTAAAAAGTGGGACATGTGACACCCCCCCCCCAAGACCCTGCAAATGGTTGCCCAGCGCCCAAGTTTTGATGGAGGGCTTGACGGTGGGAAGTTTGAATCTGCATCGCAAAAACTACTTGTATGTGAATAATATCCAGGACGGGCTTTCATTGAAAGTTGGGATAATTGGGGGGGGCGGAATGAGCAGAAACAACAGATCTGGGCAGTTTTAAAAAGCCAGAAATTGAGGCTGTGGTCTTCCTTGTAGATAGACCCATCTGTGTTGGGTGAGAGCAAATATTTGTTCAGTTTACTCGTAAAAGCTTCCAGCACTTATGGTTTCAGTGATTCAATATAAGGTTCTGTGCCCCATTCCTCATTGTGTTGGTTTAGCTGTTGTTCTAAACCTGAGACTAAAGGGAAGGAAGGAAGGAAGGAAGGAAGGAAGGAAGGAAGGAAGGAAGGAAGGAAGGAAGGAAGGAAGGAAGGAAGGAAGGAAGGAAAAGATAAAGGAAAGATAAGAAGGAAGAAAAGAACGATTAAAAAAAGGAAGGAAGGGAAAAGAAAGGCAAGAAGGAAGGAAGAAAAGAAAAAGGAAAGAAAGAGAAAGGAAAGAGAAAGAAAAAAGAAGGAAGTTTGGGGAAGTGGCAATTTTGGAGAAAGCAGAGAACATCAGACTGGAATTATGTATGAGAATTGAAGAGCACATCAGACATTAATGCCCAGAGGGAGGGAAAAGTCTATGCCCTTGATGGCAATGCTAATATTTTCTCTGGGTCATTGTGCTAAGAGCAACGAACTCTGACACTGAGCTCTTTGGGACACAGCCAGATTGGGAGCCAGGTTCAGGGGACAGGTTTGGAGAAAGTGAAATGCCCTGCGGAAAAAAAAAAACACCTTGTGGTTGAAGGTCTGATTGACATCTAAATTTTGACTGGTGGATTGTTCCTCTTGTAGATATTGTTGGTTGGCATAGGCAAGATTTTATTAATTAATTAATTGATTTGATTTCTATAACTGCCCATCTCAACAAGGGACTCCAATTGCATTGGGCTGGCTTCTTGGTTTGGCCAGTTGCTTGCTTCTTCCTCCAACAGACTTTAAAAAAAAAAGTTTGTAAGTGAAATTTAAGTGTCACTCCCAATGGCTCATTCCCCCAGAGCCGGAACGTAAGATAGCACCCTCTTTTTCTTCTTGATCATTAAGTGCTTTGGTGCTTAAACCGCTCATTCTTATCCCTTGTATTCTGTATGGAGGATTAAAGCTATCAGATGTGCACTTTACTCTAGAAAGGTAAGGTGAAGATGATTTGGCTTGATGCAAGAAATTTCCTCCAGTGAATGACAGGTAAAACCCTTATGAGAGAGTTTAAGCATCAGGAAACTCTGGGTTCTAGTCTTGTCTTGGGCCTGAAAGTTGGCTGAGTAACTTTGGGCCAGTCACCAGGAAAGTGGGAGTTCTAGTTCTGCCTTAGGCAT